CCGCGAGCAGAAGACGCTCGCGGGGAGTAGAAACGAGCTGGCCAGAAGAGAACCAGAACTCCCCCCAAGTAACGATCCAGCCAAGTAATCGAGCCCTACGAAAGGGTCAAATCTTGCATCCCCCCAGCTCCAAGTTTTGCATTAGTTGTTGTTATTTTCTTGTTGGCCCTCGGGCCCTTGTTGTTGTTTCTGCGGTTTTTCTGTACATAAAGCGTTCTTCATCCGCGCCTGTCCTGCCAGTCAAAGGTTCACACCTTTTTTCCATACCGCTAGACCGTCGACTCCATTACATTATTAGGTTGGTGCAAAAGTAATGCGCGTTCTCCGAGTTCTCAATTTGAAGTGCTATAACTTTCTAAAAAATCCATATTTTTCAGTGCGGCAAAATTCATCAAAGTCACCAAACCTCTTTCTATGCAGCGCACATTAACTTATGTTAACACCGCAAATCGGTGGAAAAATATGGATTGATAAGCAAAAAAATTTTTTTCGGTAACCTTGTTTTTAACTGATCATAACTTCCTTCAAGAATTGTCGGTATAAATGATAACTTGACTGTCTTGTAGCTGCAAGCCAGTGGTACAAAAAAAGTACAAAAGGGCTCGAACAAAGAATATTTGCGAAAAGGAAAAAAATAATATTTAAAATTGGCCGCTTTTTTCGACATTTTTTCGTAGCCCTCAAAATCCTAAAGTATGGAGATTTTTGATTTTCTGTGTACTGAACAGCTTCCGCATTTCTGCAAAAACTGTCAACAGGAGGCCTACCCTTACGCTTACAGAATTGAGCAAAACTTTGGTGATTGCCCTCTTCAAAGGGAATCTATGGGCCACAGAATGGCTAAAACCATCACTTATGTTGAGGCGCCGAGATCTCAGTCTAAGTAATCTTTAGGAAAACAATAATGCGTGCATAATGTAGAAAATTTCTACTACATACAGTATTCAAATTTCCAAATGAATGCCTTTATTCGGGCTTGAATTCTGGCCGAAAAAGTAAGTGCAGTGAAATTCTGGTCTTGAGTGCGGTTGTACGAAGCTCTATAAATTTTTAAAGAATGAGGCTAGAAGCTTCTGTCAACCACCGTTGAATAGTTCATGAAAGAAGCTTCATGACAGTGAGCTGAGTAAGTTTCATCGGAGAAACTTTGATGGATAAAAGCTATCTCGAAACAAGGGCTAGAAAAACGCGCATTACTTTTGCACCAACATAATAGCTTTGTTTTATATGTCCACTAGCTGGCTTACCCGGCTCCGCCTGGCTCTGTCAAAAACGATAAAGGTTCCATTCCTAATCCTGTACAACCTTTCCCTGTCCCCACTTCTACATGCAATTCCCTATTCCCGCTGTGCTACATGAAATCCCCTATTCCCGCTGTGTTAGGCCGTGGCCATACTTCGCTCAAAAGCGCCCAAAAGCGCTCAAAGGCGCCCAAATTTCTCTGACCTCTCCTCACTCTCTCTCTTCTCTCGTCACATGAGAAATTGAAGCGACATCAGAGAAATTTGGGCGCTTTTGGGCGTTTTTGGGCGCTTTCGAGCGAAATGTGGCGAGGACCTACCTTCCTCACCAGCCCCTAGCCCCGTGGCTCAAACTTTGCAAAAAAAAAATCAATAAAATCCAAAAAAGTGAGGATAATTCTAAACTGATGGCGCCGGGCCCCGGAATGTTTTTGTGATGGATCTTGCTCAAACTCGGTTTATGGGGGTTATTCGAGCCGCTGATGACGAATAACGTATCACCTCGCGCGATAACTCCATTTTCTGGGTTTACGGTGGTACACGTAAAGAGCTAAAATCATGGATTTCGCTGAAACTTTGCTTAGGGGGGCTAACTGACATGCTGATTACTCATACTCCTTCGACATTTTGGGACGTTCTCACTTAGTTATGGTATAGGGGCCTGCAGGATCGCGAGAGTCGGACGCGCGTACGGCCTTTGCGCCGCGCACGCCTGATATCGCTGGGTCGTAGTCGATTAAGGCTCGATAGGTAAGTTTTTTTTTGTTTTTCTTTACATTTCACGCCTTCTTTTCTTTTCAGACGGTGAGCACATGTTGGTGCGGAGGAGTTCAAGATCTGAATTAAGGTGAGGTGCAGGATTATGCTCAATACGGACTCAATATTGCAGACCTTCCATGCCTGCTGGTTGAGATGTTGGATTTTCTGTCCTGGCTGCCCTGTTACAGCAAACTGTTCTATTTCTACCGTCTATTCTACCTTATCTTGCATATTGCTTGTGATGATGATGATGATGATGACAATGATTATGATTGTGATGACGCGCATGATGCAAGATGAGGTAGAACAGACGTTGCAAATAAAACGGAGTTTCGTAACCGGGCAGGCAGGACGAAAAATCGAACATAATCGGACAGCTAGAACAGAAAACTCAACATTCTTCAAAGCAGGGGTGAAAAGTCCACAATATTGGCCCGTATTGAGCATAATCCTGCACCTCACCTTAATCTAGATCTTAAACTCCTCTGCACCAACATATGTTCGCCGCCTGAAAAGAAAAGAAGGCGAGAAATGAGAAGAAAAACGAAAAAATCTCACCTATCCAGCCTAAATCGAGTACGACCCAGTGGCATACGACGTGCGCGGCGCAATGGCCGTACGCACGTCCGACTCTCGCGATCCTGCAGGCCCCTATAGGTATACTGCAGAGGGGCGAAATCTCAGTTTTGGCTGAAACTCGGTCTAGAGAGATTCGACCTTCTGACCACGTCTAAAACACTCTCGTTGCGTTTTGAAATCTTTTCGCAGAGTTACAGTAGATACATGGCAGCGGGTAAAAATCATGAACCCGCCTGGAATCTTGGCAGGGTTCATGATATTTCAAAACAATTTTTGATTTTTCATGACCTAAAGTGCTGTTTCAAGAATATCGTGCTCAATTCCAATAATTTCATCACACTTCCAATAATCTAGTCCAAATGTTTGGACCCAAATTACATAATGAATTATCGTGGTATTAGAGTATGAGCAACTGTGTATTTTTGTCTTTTTAAGGAACGCCTAGAGCGTATGTAATAAATAAATAAATAAATAAATAAATTCCATGACAGAGGCAATTCGTATGGTATAGAAGGTTTCCCACGACCGTAATGCTTTCCTTATAGGACCACTGCCGCGCGTGATACACCCTTCGGCGGCTTTTGCCTAAGCAAAAAGAGGGGGAGGGAGATTTGTCGCGTGCGTTATGCGTTGGGACATGCTATGAGGATGGCGCTGGAAACATGCAAAACGACCGTTTTCCCATTTCGTGAATATCGGGATCTAAGCTGGCCCGAAAACGAAAAAATGTCCATTAAAACCCTGCAACTAACCATAACGTCACAATAATGCGTTGTGACAGCGAGCAAGTATTCATAAGCAGCATGCTTGCAAACTGTTCCAGGTAAGGTTTTGAGCAAATCTGGAACTTCTACCCATCTGCTGTACACCCACCGTAACCCAAGAAAATGCGCTATCCTGCGAAATCAACATGATATTCATGTTCAGCGCGCTGAATGACCACCCTAGACGAAGTTTAAAGCAAATCTATGTTTTCGATCCCATACCATATAACCACCATAACTCTATGAAAAGGTCCCAATACGCAGAGAGAGTATAAAATTCGTAATCAGCATGTCGAATAAGTTTTCTGGACCGAACTCCAGCCGAATTCTTGATTTTGACTTCCTACCGTACACCTATCGTAACCACACGGGAGACGTTCTGCGGAGAAAGTGTGATATCTATAATCAGCATGTAAAAAAACCCTTATACAGGAAGTCTGAGCAAGTTCTACGACAAAAAAATTCTGGGGCCTGGATAGCCGAATAGCGCTAAACTGATATTGTATTCGTAATCAGCATGCTCGATTATCCCCTGTGCAACCTCCCAACCCCGCAGGTCAAACTTTGCAAAAAAATCGATAAAATCGATAAAACTGTTGAACGATTTCAAAAACTACAATTGTATTCGTAATCAGCGTGCTCGATTACCCCCCCCCCCTGTGCCAAATCCCAGCCCTGTAGCTCAAACTGTGAGAAAAATCGATGAAATCGATAACATCGATAAAAGTAATGGGTTAAAAAATAATGTTGCACTCGTAGTCAGAATGCTCGATTCACCCCCTCCCCTGTGCCAACTCCCAGCCCCACAGGTCAGTTTGCAAAAAACCGATAAAATCGATAAAAGTAATGGATAGTTCTGGAAACCAATATCATGTTCGTAATCAGCATGCTCGATTACACCCCTCCCCTGTGCCAACTCCCAGCCCCATAGCTCAAACATTGCAAAAAAATCGATAAAATCGATGAAAGTAATAGATAGTTCTAAAAACCAATATTGTATGCGTAATCAGCATGCTCGATTACCCCCCTGTGCCAACTCCCAGCCAAAAATTAGCTACTAACCGACCCTAAATCATAGCGTTGCGTGTTGACAATCACTTACCCGTTCGACCAAACCTGCTCAAGGGTTTTCGTTTTTTTAGAACGGCCAAGACCATGTCTATCTGCACTCAGATCAATCGCTCGATGGACAATGCGTTGGGGCGCTCTACGTTCAACGTAGGCCCGTCCCCAGCCAAGTTGCACTGAACAGGGGTTTACTACGGGCCTCTCTCATGGAAGTGGGTGTTCAGTAGTAGTTCTCAGAAAAAGATTAAGATATTGAAGTATCTGTATTTACAATAGACGGCTTGTAGTATATTTGTCTCGACCTACCCATATGGTCGCTAATCCTTTAAAGTTCCAATGTGTTCAACTCTGTTAAGAAATTGACTCCAAGGAAATGTTGACTACGCAGCCTTATTTTCATGAAGCAAACCTTGGCGATTAGAGAGCCTGACTTTGCCAAAAAATTTTCAAAGAATTTTTTTTGGCAAGTTAGACCATGGCACAAACGATAACACTCTAGTGTCGATGACGTTCTGCTATCACAAACACATATCAGTATTTTGACAGGTGTTAGTGGGCCTCTTGTTCAGGTTTGTAGATTATTTCTGTCATACTACTTGTTCCTGGTTCCCTCAGCAATCTTCTGTTTCAATGTTTGATTCTCCGAATATAAACAAGTTTTTCGAAGCGGTAAGTGATTATCAAAACCATTGTATATGAATAAGACCTCAGTACTCATCATACGCAGAGAGTTTTTTGTCCGCTATAGCTATGAAAGAGTCATGGATTTGGATAAAATACTTGGAACAGGGCGGGTCATAAGATATTCCTGAAAATCATTAAATTTCATCTCAATTTTTTGGAAATTTTTTTACACGAAGTTCATTTATTTCGTTCTAAAATGATGCAAATATGCACACAGGAACTGTGAGGTGGAGCGGTTCTTATAAACCGTTTTTGATGGAAAAATATTAATCAACTCCATCAACTTGCTGTTTTTTACATAAATCCCTGAAAAGATAAAAGTCGGCAGAGGTAGGTACTTTGATCTACTTCTTACATCCACTATTGAATTACTCTCTTTTGATTCAAATGGCCATAATTTAGTGCACAAGAAAAGTTTGTTGACCATCCTCGACGGAATATATAGAGTGGTCCATCAACAAGTTGAAAGATAACTACGATGTTGATTTCTGCAAGTCTGTACCACAAAAAAAGTACCGCAAAGGTTTTTGGTCTGTCATGTTGCTGCGTCGCGGCAGTAGCGCATCTGGTTTGAGGTGATAAAACTGTATTTTTTGACTACGTTCGAAATATCATATGGTCCGATTTTTCAGTAATTGTCATTGACATCTTTTAGAATCTAAATGTATGCGAAAATTCGCACAGCCTTACAAGTATTTTTGCAATTTGCTTTATTTTGTCATTTGCAAAACGGATAGCATTATATGTAACAATAAGAGGCGATGGCCGATGCGACTAGATTTAATCATCTGCTAATTTCCGATTTCTTGAGTACGTCAGATACGTCTTGCTCGCTATCGATTTTTGAAAAAGTAAGTGATAAGGTATGCAAGAGAAGTGTGAAGTGAAACTGGGCAATCTTTGGTTGATGTGTCAATTGGAAAGCACATCCTCACTTTTCTGACGGCTGGGCCATGGTTGAGGCAAACGGTGTCCTTTTTTTGAATCTTCTTATATATAAAGCTCAATGTCTGTTTGTCTGCCTGTATGTCTGTCTGTATGTCTGTACGTATGTTCCGAATAGAAAATTCCATTTCTGAACCGATCCGGATCAAACTTGGCACACATACACTTCGGGCCCCGGCGGGTGTTATAGGCTACATTTCGTCATCGATCGATATCAATTTTATCGATTTTTATCGATTTTTTGCAGAGTTCACCCACGGGGCTGGGAGTTCGCACAGGTGGGTAATCGAGCATGCTGATTACGAATACAATATTATTTTTCAAAATTATTCATTACTTTTATCGATTTTATCAATTTTTTGCAGAGTTTGAGCTATAGGGCTGAGAGTTGGCAAAGGGGGGAATCGAGCATGCTGATTACGAATACAATATTAGTTTGGCGCTATTCGGCTATCCGGGCCCCAAAATTTTTTTGTCGTAGAGCCTGCTCAAACTTCGTCTATAAGGGTTATCTTGCATGCTGATGACAGATATCACACTTTCTCCGCAGAACGTCTCCCCTGTAACTACGACAAGTGTACGGTAAGTCAAAATCATGATTCTGGTTGGAATTCGGTCCAGAGGGCTTTTCGACATGCTGATTACGAATATCGTACTCTCTCTGCATATTGGAATCTTTTCACAGAGTTGTGGTGTTTATACTTCATGGAATCGAAAACCTAGATTTGCTCTAAACTTCGTCTAGGGTGGTCATCGGCGCGCTGTACATGATAGCATGCTGATTTCGCAGAATCCATTTTCTTGGTTACGGTGGACATACAGTAGAAGGGTCGAAGTTCCAGATTTGCTCAAAACCCTACCTGTAACGGTTCACAAGCATAATGCTTATGAATATGATGCTTGCGCCATGCGATAACGCATTATTGTGAAGTTACGATGAGTTGTTGCAGGATTTGAGTGGACATTTTTTCGCTTTAGGGCCAATTTAGATCCCAGATATTTACGAAATGGAAACGGTCGTTTTGAAAGGCGGTCCCCAGCGCCATCCTGATAACCTGTCCGAATGCGTAACGCACGCGGCAAATCTCCCCCCCCCCCCCCCTTTGCTTAGGCAAAAGCCGCCGAAGGGTGTATCACATGCGGCAGTGGTCCTATAAGGAAAGCATTACGGTCGTGGGAAACCTTCTATACCACACAAATTGCCTTTATCATGAGGTGAGCACGATATTCTTGAAACAGCCCTTTGGGTAATTCCCTGCCAAGGTTCCAGGCGGGTTCATGATTTTTACCCGCTCCAAGTATCTACCGTAGCTTTGCGAAAAGGTCTCGAAACGCAACGAGAGTGCTTTAAACGTGGTCAGAAGGTCGAATCTCGCTAGATTGAGTATCAGGCAAAACTGAGAATTTGCCCCTCTGCAGTATACCTACCATAACTCAGTGAAAACGCCCCAAATGCCGAAGGAATACGACGTAAGCATGTCAATTAGCCCCCTTCCCTAAGCAAAGTTTCAGCGATATCCATGATTTTCGCTTCTTACGTGTACCACCGTAAATCCAGAAAATGGCGCTATCGCGCGAACTGACTACGATATTCGTCATCAGCGGCTCGAATAACCTCCATATACCGAGTTCAAGTGAGATCCATCACAAAACTTTCTGGGGCCCGGAGCCATCAATTTAGAATTATCCTCACTTTTTTCGATTTTATTGATTTTTTGCAAAGTTTGAGCTACAGGGCTAAAGGTTGGTGAGGAAGGTAGGTAAGCATACTGATTACTAAGGTCTTCGCCACACTTCGCTCAAAAGCGCCCAAAAGCTTCCAAATTTCTCTGGTGTCTCTTCACTTTCTCATGTGACGAGAGATGAGAGAGAGTGAGGAAAGGTGAGAGAAATTTGGGTGCTTTTGAGCGAAGTGTGGCTAGGGCCCAAGACAGCGGGAATAGGGAATTGCATGTAGAAGTGGGAACAGGAAAAGGTTGTACAGGGATAGGAGTGGAACCTTTATCGTTTTTGAAAGAGCCGGGCGGAGCCGCGTAAGCCAGCTATTGCGAATACGATATTAGTCTTTTTTAATTGTCTGTTACTTCTGTCGATTTTATCGATTTTTTGCAAAGTTCGAGCTACGGGACTGGGATTTGGCACAGGGGGTAATTGAGCATGCTGATTACTAATACAGCGGAAATGGAAACTGACATGTACAAGTAGGCACAGGGAAAGGTTATACAGGGATAAGAATAAAACCTTTATCGTGTTCTGACAGGGCTGGGCGGAGCCGGGTAAGCCAACTAGTCATATATATAAAGGTGAATGTCTGTTTGTATGTCTGTATGTCTGTATGTCTGTCTGTCTGTCTGTATGTACGTATGTTCCGAATAGAAAATTCCATTTCTGAACCGATCCGGACCAAACTTGGCACACATACACTTCGGGCCCCGGCGGGTGTTATAGGCTACATTTCGTCATCGATCGATATCAATTTTATCGATTTTTATCGATTTTTTTGCAGAGTTCACCCACGGGGCTGGGAGTTCGCACAGGTGGGTAATCGAGCATGCTGATTACAATATTAGTTTTTAAAAATTAGAATTATCCATTGATATTATCGATTCTATCGATTCTTTGTTTGAGCTACGGGGCTGGGGATTTGGCGCAGGGGGTAATCGTTCATGTTGATTACTAAAACAGCGGAAGAGTGAATTGGCATGTAGACGTGGGCATAAGGAAGGATTGTACAGGGATAGGGATGAGAGCTTTATCGTAGTGTTTTCACAGAGTCGGGCGGAGCAGGGTAAGCCAGCTAGTCCTTCATATATTAGGGTGTCCCATATTTTTTACCGTTTTTACCCTAAACATCAGCATTTCTGAGAACTGGGGCACTCTTGAAGTTTAAAAATACATGGTCGTACTTCTGTATGAGCTATATGATTACGTACGTGGGAGGAGCTCAGGATGTCTAGGGGTGGAGATTTCCACTTTACCCCATTCATTTTTTCTTTATTTTTAGTCATGAACATAACATGAAACTAATATACCCTAATTTCACGCGTACAAGGGGCGGGGTATTTTTTTCCAAAATCGACCAGCCCAGACAAGCCAAAGGACTTTACAACCAAAGGACCTTATGCCTTGCTGTATATTGCTTAAGAGAATTGTACGGCATAAGGATTGCTTTCCGAGATAATTTGAAACGGCTGAGAGGCTCAGTCGAAAAATCGAAAAGTGCGCCTTGTACGCGTGAAATTAGGGCAATTAAATGTGCGATGTGTCAAGCATACGCTAGAATAAATGGGCAATTTTTAAGACATAAGATTTTTTAAAGAAAAGTTCGTTGTCCACTGTTATCAGGCTTCAGCTCAAAACTTCCGGTGAAATACGATTTTGGCGGATTCTTCACAGCCATCTTGTAGAGCTTTCGCCCTGTCGAATAATTTCTCAATCCACACTAGTTGGAGGCAAAATACAGAAACGACGGTTGTAGTAAAAACGGTAAAGAAAAATTATGGGACACCGAATGATTTGTGAAATAACCGGAGCAACTAAATCTAAAACTTGCAGACGCACACGAATAGAACTGATTTATTCGTAATCAGCACCTTCACACACCTGATACCACCTAGCTCCGTAGCTCGGTTTTTCGAAAATCGGTAAAGTCGATAAAGTAGATTTTATTCATTATAAGCGTCCTCGTTTAGTCCATTATGCCAACTCCCCGCCCCGTAAAAACTTTCCAGAAATTGATAAAATTGATAAAGTAAATTTTTATTCTCAGCACCCTCACTTACCCCCTCCCCCCTCTCCCTGTACCAACTCTCACCCTTGTTGCTCAATGTTTTTAGAATAGTCGACAAAATCGATCAAGTAAATTTTTATTCATAGTCAGCCATCATTTATCTCCTAGCAACTCCCAGTCCCTAGACCAAAAATTAATCACCGTCTTATTTTTTACTACAACCGCAATCTCCTTTACTCAGAATAAACCCATCATTCGCAAAAACTTTTCTGGAAATAGAATTGAGGCAATGTGCAGTGTAGCCTTTACA